GTTCACAATGTTGATCAAGAACAGTTTGGATAAAGTAAAAAAAAAAGAAATAATTTCTCTACTGAAACTTGTTCCCAAAATCAATGTCACTGTGGATATTTGAAGTAGCAGACAAATGTACAGCTTTCTTGGAGTCACTAGTCATTCTAGATTGTTGGCATTTCATGGGGCATCACCCATCTGATAACATTGCAGCTAAATATGATGGAACAACAAATCTCTTTAACATCAACCACAAAGTGTTATATGTGACACCTGATAATGCATATAACATGATCAATGCTTTCTGCTTGCCTGAGTCGGAACTGCAAACACTACTTAGTGTGAGAGATGGTAATAGGGATAACAGGAAAAAACTGGGACACTGCTGAAAGTAATTTTCAAAGCATCAGTCATCATGTCCTACATTCGAAAATCAATGCAAGTAACTGATTTACTTGAGGGAGAAGTCACAGTTCAGTCAGTAACACCAACATGATGGAACTCAGAAATATAGATGATTAAGTTTTTATTGAAGTTTCCCTAGTAGAAGTTGGGTAATCTAGATACTTGTACATCAAAATTTACTTTTCAGATTTGGTAACAATACTGACACCTTTTAAAGAGGCAACAGATTTCACTGAGGGTCAGAACATTGTTACTCCCAGTTATGTAGTACCATGTGTTTATGGGCTGATGACTGAGATTGACATTAGCAATCCAGACATAATTTCAATCTTGTCTCTGCACTGAAGAAATCTGTTCATGCCCAGCTGACTCAGTATGAGCAACAAAGTGTCTCCTGCTTGGCTGCAGCATTGGATCCCAGATTTAAACCTGACTGATGTTTCACTAGACCTATGGTCTATGAATCCAGTCGAATGCTCCTGCAGCAAGAAGTCAAGAAAATTTCTTCAACAATAAGTAAGCTCTTTGGTTTCTTTGCTGTCTACATGAAATTAGCCACTCATCTTCAGAGGATACAGAGGTCATCACCTATCTCGATGATCTTTGCATTTGTGAAGAAAGCAACCCTTTAGATTATTGAAAGATCTATGAAAAAAACTTTCCTACCCTATCTCTACTAGGTAAATGCTACCTGAGTGTTCCAGCATCCTCTGCTCCCATTGAGCATTTATTTAGCATTGGAGGCAAAACCCTCAGACCTGATCACTGCCACCTCACTGACAAAACATTTGAGAGACTAATGCTTATAAAGAACAATAGACAATTATAATATCTATTAGTTTCCTTTAAAAATATATTTTTTGTTCTAAAACTTTGTTATTGCATTTTGAAAAATAAAAGTATTGAAATGTTATTATCTGCTCAAATGTTTGTTTCATTTCCTAAAAAGTTTGTTTCATAAAATAAAAGTATTGAAATCTTATCATCTGCTGTTTTATCATTATGGCTTATTAGCTGACAACGTATTCATGAATACTTAGCATTTTACCTGTATTCATTTTCATATTCATAAAAAATATAAAGTATTCATACTTGTATTTGATTACTGACCTCCAGTATTTGCCCCATCCCTGCCTGTCACATACATCATGATGATGGTCTTACCCTGCAGCTGCTTTGCTTTCTGCCATTCATCTAGGAAAAAACCACTGTGAATGTTATGTGAGTCAGGCAAAGATATAATGTTGGCATTATTTTCAGCAAGCCAAAGGAGAACTTACTTTATAGATTCTAACTACATCCATGTGTACCTTGTGGGAAGGTGCAATACTCTACTAGCCTTATACAGGAAACTTTTGCGGCCATGAGATGATGGATGTTCAACCAGCTCTCTTGCTATATGTGATGTAGGCATCATCTGAAGCTAAGAAGACATGTGACTAACCACAATGGTATTCATATAGTTGATGACAGGCTTTTATACTTCATTTCCTGCTCAATTTCTACAGTTTCTCTCTAGACTGATTATCACAGATCCAAGTGGTGCAGGTTTCTATTCAACATAGAGAGCATCCAAGATCTGGTGGTGACTGTGTAGTACCTATACATCTGTCAGTGTCTCCTGAGGCACCTTTTTAGACAATAACAATGGGAAAAGGCAGTGGCTCAATGATGGAATGCATGGTAAACAGTACAAGGCCATAGTGAAGAATTTTGTTTGTGCTCTGCAGTGCTGCTGAAGATTGTTAGGTGCTAGTAACAGGTCTTTTATGTAGGTGGCTGAAGAAGATTCTGTGACTAATCTTAAACAGGTGTTTTGTATCCTTTCAATCTTATCTATCTTTGTAGCATTTGTACTGATTACCAGTACTACGTAATCTAGGATGGGGCAGATAATATTTTGATATAACATAGGTAAGTGAATTCTTCATCTTTATTTCATGCTGCAACTTTAAGTGCATTCATTTTGTGTCATAAATGATCTGATTTTGAAACCAGGAGCATATGACTAGTGAATGGGATTAAATATCCTACTTTGTCTTGTAAGAGCAATAACACTACTCTGACTCCATTACTTCTTGCATTGGTGTCCAATAGAAACATAGGTTTGGCATAGGTAAGCCAGCATTTGAATAAACTTTAGAATTGGGATACTTGGTCACATTCCTCATTATCTCGAAAGTGTGCCCTTACTTTTGTAAGGGCTGACAACAGGTCATGTCTCCAGATCGATCTTTCACCATAGCTCTCATAGTCAGGTTTATCAAGACTGCATCTTTCTTCACAACGTGATTGAGAAACTTCACCTCTGTTATCATGAATAAACATTTTCTTAGTTTCAGTTTTAAGTCAACTTGTTACTGTGCTGGAATACCTTCTTCAGGTTTTTAGATGTGGAATTGAAAGTGCAGTGAAACAGCAAAACATTCGCAAGTTTATATTTCAATTTTTAAAGAAAATCTAATTAAAATATTATTTCACCATGATATAAAATATCTATCATTTATCAAGCCATCCATAAGGAATTTACTAACATCAAGATTTGTTTATGCAAAAATATGTTTCTATGTGATATGATTGACCAAATACTTTGTACTTATTTTAATAAGCAAAGTTTATGTTCTGTATATTCAACTGAAGTGTTTGAATACCCTTTAGTCATCAGTTTACCATTTAGGGGTAGATATATTTATAGTTATTAAGAATCAGCTGAAACAGGTTGTCTGTAGGGTATACCCACAAGCACAATTAAGGTAACTTAATTATTAGGTAAACCTAATTATTGCTTACTCTCTTTCTTTAACTTTAAGGACTAGAGACTAATTTTACAGTCATTGTTAGTAGTTTATAAATATATTTGTCCTTGCTACCACAAAGGCTATATTGGTTTTACAAAAAGAAAACTATTAACATGTATAAAAACATGCCAACTTCAAATCACCTACAAGCTCAACCATGTTAGAACATGCTATAGGAGAATATGATTCTATCTTTCATTCTAATTTTTTAAAATCCTTACCAGGGCTAATGATGAATGAAGCCTCTGTATAAAAGATTTTTTGTTTTTGTTTTGTCCACCCCAGAGTTACCCCTTTAAAACAATGTTTACAAAAATTTAACTTTCAAATTACCAATCAGTGGCATTCTTATAAAGTACAAACTTCAGAATTTAATATAATTTTCTTTCAAATCAGGAAAGTTTTAGCTCTCGCAATATCTTTTACAGTGAACATTCATTGATAATAATCTGTATTGTTCTCTCCAGTACTTTTACAGAATTAATTTACAGGAATTATTGTACACTTTTATTTTTTACACTTGTAAGAGCAATTATCTCATGAATTATGCAGTAAGAAAAGTATCACTCATGTGGTCTGAGAACAAGCTTATTACAGCCTGTGTGTAATGATAACAAACATTTTATATTATAATTATATAAATCTTGTTTCATAAATGTTTGGCTGCCATAAAAATACTTATTTTAAGGCAAGGTTTTATAAGAAAACCTCACCACGTTATGTTGAAAATAAAGTTTTATAAGAAAATTTCATGGTGTTATGTTTAAGACAAGGTTTTATAAAGAAACCTTACTAAGTTATGTCTATGATGAAGTTTTATAAGGAAACCTTATGGTGTTATGTTTAAGACAAGGTTTTTATAGGGAAACCTTACAGAATTATGTTTAAGATGAGGTTTTATAAGGAAACCTTACTGAGTTATGTTTAAGACATGGTTTTATAAGGAAACCTTAATGAGTTCTGTTTAAGATGAAGTTTTATAAGGAAACCTTAATGAGTTCTGTTTAAGATGAAGTTTTATAAGGAAACCTTACGGAGTTATGTTTAAGACAAGGTTTTATAAGGAAACCTTAATGAGTTCTATTTAAGATGAAGTTTTATAAGGAAACCTTACTGAGTTCTGTTTAAGACAAGGTATTATAAGGAAACCTTAATGAGTTCTGTTTAAGATGAAGTTTTATAAGGAAACCTTACTGAGTTACATTTAAGACAAGGTTTTATAAGGAAATCTTAATGAGTTCTGTTTAAGATGGAGTTTTATAAGGAAACCTTACTGAGTTCTGTTTAAGACAAGGTTTTATAAGGAAACCTTAATGAGTTCTGTTTAAGATGAAGTTTTATAAAGAAACCTTACTGAGTTACGTTTAAGACAAGGTTTTATAAGGAAACCTTACTGAGTTCTGTTTAAGACAAGGTTTTATAAGGAAACCTTAATGAGTTCTGTTTAAGATGAAGTTTTATAAGGAAACCTTACTGAGTTACGTTTAAGACAAGGTTTTATAAGGAAACCTTAATGAGTTCTGTTTAAGATGAAGTTTTATAAGGAAACCTTACTGAGTTGTATTTAAGATGAAGTTTTAAAAGGAGTTATGTTGAAGATGAGGTTTTATAAGAAAATTTCATGGTGTTATGTTTAAGACAAGGTTTTATAAGGAAACCTTACTGAGTTATGTTTAAGATGAGGTTTTATAAGAAAACTTCACAGTATCAAAAAATATGTAAAGGAAGTGCAAGAACTTACACATATCTCAGAATAATAAACTTTTATGTATACTGTATAAAATATCAGAAACCAAATGAAAAGAAGAGTACAACTTTCTGAAAAAATACTGATACTAATGAATAAAGAGAAAGAAATGTTAAATCTTATAACAGGAGTATTTACTTTTTAATACATTTCACTTGTGGCTAATATAACTTATATTCTTATTTATCAGAGACCAGTTTTTAACACTGGTTATTTATGGTACTTTCAACTAGTTATTAAAAGCAAAAAAACAACAACAACAAACAAAATATCAGATGGTACTGTTACCACAAACCTGTAACAAAATCTCTTTCACTAATATTTAAATTATTTGTTTATGTGTATTTCATTCTATAAAGAATGAGATAATAAAATCTCATTAACTGAAACTTTTTGTACTAGGAAAGAAATACAAGTTATCACAGTCATTTCTAAATTAAACCTGAACCATAAAGTTTCCATAACTTCTGGTACTATTGATAACATAATTTTCTGATTTTTGGAAATTTCTTTGCAACTTTGGAAGGACTATGATGATATAATATGTGAAATAAAACTTTCATAAACATGACACTATCTTGGCAAACTGGGGAGACATAAAAATTGTTTATAAGTAGTAATGAAATTAAAACTGCATATCTCAGAGAAACAACATAAGAAGGAGTGTGGATAGAAATCCATCATTCTTAGTAATCAGTAGCAGTTATATTATCAAATGACAACTGTAAATCTCTGAGAAACAGCGTGAGAAGGAGTGTGAACAGAAATGAACCATTCTTGCTAACTAGTAGTAGTTACATTATCAAATGAAAACTAAATCTTAGAGAAACAGCATGAGAAGGAGTGAGGATAGAAGTGCATCATTATGAATAATCAGTAGTTGTTATATTACAAAATGAAAACTGTAAACCTCTGCAAAACAGCATGAGAAGTAAAGTGAATAAAATTGCACCATTTTTAATAACTAGTAGTAGTAATATTACCAAATGAAAACTGTAAATCTCAAAGAAACAACTTCAGAAGAAGTGTTGATTAAAATACATCATTCCCAGTAATTAGTAGTAGTTATATTATCACATGAAAACTGCAAATCTTATAGAAACAGGATAAGAAGGAATGTGGATAGAAATTCATCCACCTCAGTAATCAGTAGTAGTTATATTATTTAATGAAAACTGCAAAACTTTGAGAAACAGTATGAGAAAGGGTGTGGATAGAAAGGCATCATTCTTAATAACTAGTAGTAGTTATATTATCAAATGAACACTATAAATCCCAGAGAAACAGCATAAGAAGGAGTGTGGATAGAAATGTGTCACTCTTAATAACTAGTAGAAATTATATTATCAAATCAAAACTGTAACTTTCACAGACATAGCACATGAAAGAGTGTGGATAGAAATACATCCACCTCAGTAATCAGTAGTAGTTATGTTATTTAATGAAAACTGCAAAACTTTGAGAAACAGTATGAGAAAGAGTGTGGATAGAAAGGCATCATTCTTAATAACTAGTAGTAGTTAAATTATCAAATGAAAACCAAATTTCACTGAAATTACACATCAAGGAGTATAGGTAGAAATACATCCACTTTAGTAATCAGAAGTAGTTATCAAATGAAAACTGTAAATCTTTGAGAAACAACATAAGAAGGAGTGTGGATAGAAATACATCATTTTTAATAACTACTAGTAGGTATATTATCAAATGAGAATAGTAAATCCCAGAAAATCAGCATAAGAATGAGTGTGGACAGAAATATGCATTCTTAATAGCTAGTAGTAGTTATCAAATGAAAACTGTAAATCTTTGAGAAACAACATAAGAAGAAGTGTGGATAGAAATACATCATTTTTAATAACTACTCGTGGGTATATTATCAAATGAGAATAGTAAATCCCAGAAAATCAGCATAAGAATGAGGTGGACAGAAATGTGCATTCTTAATAGCTAGTAATATTTATCAAATAAAAACTATAAATGTGATAGAAACAGCATAAGAAGAAATGTGGATAGAATATAAATCATTCTTAATAACCACTAGTAGGTATATTATCACATGAAAATAGTAAATCCCAGAAAATCAGCATAAGAATGAGCGTGGACAGAAATGTGCATTCTTAATAGCTAGTATTAGTTATCAAATAAAACTGTACATGTGATAGAAACAGCATAAGATGGAATGTGGATAGAAATAAATCATTCTTAATAACTAGTAGTAGTTATATTATCAAATAAAAGCTGTAAATGTCACAGAAATAGCATGTGAAGGAGTGTGGATAGAAATACATTCACTTTAGTAAGTAATTAGTAGTAGTTATATTATCAAATGAAAATTGTAAATCTTTGAGAAACAGGATGAGAAAGAATGTGGATAGAATTGCATCATTCTTAATGACTAAGTAGTAATTATATTATCAAATTAAAACTGTAAATCTCTGCGAAACAGCATGAGAAGGAGTGAGAATAGAAGTGCATCATTCTTAAGTATCATTAGAAGTTTATGTGATGAGAGGAAAACGTTTAAAATATATTTTTTCGTGGATATTCTTGTGGTCTTTGAAGTTCAGGATTTTCCAAGAAAAGGCCTACAGAAAAAATGAAAATGAAGTTTTCTAGCACAAAAACAAACATGCTCATAATGCATATACACAGAAACCTTTCAAATAATAAGCTATATAAAAACCTGAATCATGTATGTATTAATCTTTTGACTTAGAGATTAAAAACAGATAAGCACTGGGACTATAGATAAGATTTTGTCCTAGGGTATTAATAGAGATCAAAGGTCAGTTATCACAAAAGAGTCAGTGATAAATTCACTTATGTTACCCGTGGGTTACCACAGTTGTATCAAGAGCTTTAAATAATTCTGTTTTATGTCAAAAGTCCACAAAGGCTGGTTTAATTACTTTAGAACCCAACTGATCAGACAAATTCTTCTTCTCTATCCCTGTTGTTACAACACAAACTGTGAAACTTTCACTTTAGAAAGCACCCATTAGAGCTAAACTCACACACCAGCTAACTTCACTGATGTAACTAACTTCTTTTATGAACTTCCTCTCTCTGTATCTGCATGTATTTCTAACACATAACAGAAAAATCTAGAAATATCTAGCCCTCTAGTAACAACAATATCAAACATAATGAGAATAAGTTAGAAGCTTTGAGTAAGATGATGTCAACAATATTGCAAAAGCCTACTACAACAATTAAACTACATTCACAACATGCGACTCGTACAGTTATGTAATGAAACTTGTCATAACTATCTATTTTGGAATAAATAACTTTAAATACTCCCATTTATAAAAACTAAATAATCATTAAATATCAGATCACTAAATAAACTAATTAATAACTTTTAAGGTGAACAGTCTTGTATATCCAATTGTTATCATAATTTGAATTATAAGTATAATTTGGATGATAATAACATTAATAGTGTTATGAAAGTTAACATTTTCTTAAATCAAAAAGGTATTTCCAATAATATTTACCTCCTCCGACACTACAGCTATTAATTAACAGCTAGGATTTCTTTTCCTTTGCCCATCTAAGCATTGGTCTGATTTTTTCTCACTTGCCTTTTATTTTCCACTTAATTGCCTTTGGAAATATCTGTCTCATGACACTCTTCACCTATGTCACTCTATATTGGTACTATATACAAGCACCTTCTTCAGATAATATTGTCACTTTTTCGAGACTGACCCAATTAAAAGTAGGCTCCTGCATACGATAGTGCTGCTCCTACTGACAACTGAAAAACAACAACATCCAGGGTCTCGGGTAGGAGGGTCCCCAACTTCATCTTCTTCTCCAAGAGTGGAATAAAGTTACTCGAACATTCTGGAGAAATAACTTCTGTTCACCACCCCAATGACTGGAAACTGGAAGTGACTAGTAGAATACAGCAGAGGGAGTAATGCACATTGGCGAGCTCTGAGGAATGGTGCCTGGGAAATAGTGCAATATGTGAACCAAGTTCTCTAAATTTTTAAAAGATAACTGACCCCACTTTATGAAATCAACTGATCGACAGGGATTGGCAGGGTTTCCTTATGCTTTATTCATGACAGTCCATGAATGGTGGTCCACTAATACCATCTGGTTTACTTCTAAGTGGTCTTATGGAACACCTCATTTCTACAGAGCCTGTTGCAACCCAGATAAAGTATATTGTGTTAGTGGTTGCTAGTGCAGATTTGGTTTGATAAAAGCACACCTAACAGGGCAACACTAATCAAAGAGTGGGATCCTGTGAAAATAGGGGTAAGGGACTCTGTAAAGGAAGGAAGAGACAAAATTAGTAATGAAAATACTCACCCCTCTGTATAATCAAGCAGATGAGGTTAATATAGCTACAGGGGGTAGTCAAAAACCCTAAGATGAAGATATTGCCAGATCATGCAAGTAATGTGAGACAAAAGTATAGGGGGATGTCCACACACCAGCCCACACGATGTCCTCCATTGGGCAATTCAACCAGGCTACTAAAGACATAGAAATTTGACGAATCTGATTAGATGTAACTCATAGAAGTCTCCTCGCCCCCAAAGAGAGCCAAGAATAAGCAATGTGGATCAATTTACATTCCCACCTCGTCAAGATATACTGGGATAAATCCCGGGAAACTGAAGTGTAACAATGATTAAAAAGCCATTGTCTATCACCTCAAAAAGCTTTAGTGCGGGCAACCTGGACATAACAAACAATTGGGATCCGATCTGTCACAGAAGTGAGTAGTGAATCGGTGAAAAAGATTTATTTATACCAGTGTCTCAGGTAAGAAAGTCCTGTCTGGGTATAGAAGGACATAGGTAGAATGACAAAGCATCCTGTGCACATACAGTGCTAACAACTCTGACTGGCAATGTCTACAGGCCAGTAGCAAGAAACAATAAACCTTAAGACAAAGATGATACATGGTACATGATGCTAAGGCCTAAAACAAATGTCGAGAAAGAGCATGTAATGCCACCTTTATATCCCAGTTAGGTAACTAAAAGGGTCATTTTGGATGAAGGACCTGAAATGACTTGAAGAGGCTAGAGAGCACTGGGTACTAAAATAATTTCTGCGTCTTCAAGTATCTAAAGGTAGCCAAGAAGGCCACCTTATACAGGGTGATTGTGGAAGAATCAAAACCCTTGTTAAAGAGCCAGGTCAAAAACTGAGCTATTGTTGGCATGTATGGATGAAGTAGGTCCTACCTCCTCACAATACACCATTGTCAATATGAGTGCCATTTGCAATGATAAATATCTATCATAGGATGATGCAGAGACCAAGACAGGTACATAGCAACTTTAGAAGTTAAACCCTGATGCCATGCAAAGGACTGCATAATTCCCGTGCATGAAGCTTGAGCTCTGGGATGGATAGGTGTAAGATATTGGATCGTGGCTGCCTCAACAGAAACAATTAAAGACCAAGTGGAAGAGGTGGGCACTCCTGAAGATACCACAGAAGCAGAACCATGGGTTGAGCTGGCCAATCCAGTGTAACCAACAGAACACAACATTGCTAGGACTTTGGGTAGCAGACGAATCAGTGGGTAGGCATATAGGTGCAATCCCATCAGTGCTGACTGAATGCCTCTATTGCAATGCCTGAGGATGAGGTAACAGAGACCAAAATGCTGGTAGTTGATTGTTCCAAAGAATGACAAATGCATTGATAATCAGTGTCCCAAACCGAGAGCAAATCCAATGGAAAAACCCTTGATAAAGCATCCATTCAATTGGGAGAATCCAATTGGGTCAACACAACTGATCCATCACCAAATCCATCACTCCGTAACATGGCAAGCTAGTAGGATGATATGATGGGAGTGGGCCCAATAAAGCAGATCCAAAAATAAAAAAACAGAGAGACCTGGATCAAAGGGCATGTGAGACACTACCATAGAATTGTTGGAGTGAAACATGATGACTTTGTCCATCAATAATTCCAGACCTTGTGACATCACCCTTTGAACAGCAAGAAGTTCTAAAACACTGATTCGGAGGGAAGCTTCGTCTTGTCCATAGACCCTGAAATTCCTAACCCTTGAGATATGCACCCCATCCCTGAAGTGAGGCACCAATGAAAAGATGGATCTCTCCAGAATGTCCAAGATAGCCCACAAGTGCAGTCTCAGAGTCCCCCAGAGAAACACCACTGCACCGAATATATGTCTCCATCTCACTACAAGTAAGGTCGTAGACAGCCTCAACCAAGAGCAACCTCCCCAATTCATGAACAATGCTACATATTAGAGGTAGGATAGGAGAGACCTGATTTGCCTCCATACCAGATACATTAATCTGGGAATTCATGCTGTAAATTGGCTTGCCAAACAAAAAGTCTTTTGTTTTTTATGAAAATCAAATAGGTAACATGAAGAATGCTCAAAGTATCTCCAACAGTAGTACTCCACAGAAACCTATTAGTAGACACTTTATTGAGAAAAACTGTTATCTGAATATTATATAAAGAAGGTGCTTATATACAGTACCAAGATAGAGTGGGCATTGACCTAGGTGGAGAGTGTCACGAGATAGATATTGCCAAGGGTAATTAAGTGAGGAATAAAAGGCTGAAGCAAGTGAGAAAAAAACAGACCATTGCTTAGAAACTCTAGTAGTTGAGTAATAACTTTAGTGTGAGAGGGGTAAGTATGTTTTTGAAAAAAGGCATCTTGGTGTAGTGGTTGATCAGTCTCGTAACCCATTCCAGCAGTGTGCTGATGCTAGTGGTAGGACAAATATGATTTTAAGTTGTATCTAAAGAAAGATTGAATACAAGCCTAAAACGGTTATAATTTCATTGTATAAGTCACAGGTTACCCCACATTTGGAGTATTGCGTTCAGTCTTTGGCTTCTTACCTTAGGAAAGACATTAAATTGTTGGAAATGGTTCAGAGGAAGGTTACTAGAATGGTGCCTGGGAGGGAGGGGTTGTCATATGAAAAGAAGTTAAGATCTGTGAAATTGTTTTCTCTTAATAATCTTATTGCAAATATATTTTAAAAAACAAACAAAATCTTTTATACCTAACTAATGGTAACATTATTACGCGTAATCTACACTGTAGTGGTATTTAAGATTTTTTATGTAACCCACACCTCGAACTTGTGTCTCCAACTGCTCTTGTCTTGCTTTTCGGTTCAAAAAAGATATACTATTTTTCTTTGCTATCCACCACAATTCAAATTTGTTCCACACATAATGGTCATTCCAGAGGCAGTAAGAACTCAGTGCCAACAGAATAGTAAGAATAACAGAAGTTGTCTGAAAGTTTTGGACAGAAAAATGGCATTAACAATATCCTCTTTCTGTATCCTCATTTACACTCATTCAAAACATTCAAAGAATACATAAGCAAGTTTATAGTTATAAATGTATCATTACTAGGGAAAAGTGAGAAAATTAATAAAACTCTTCTACATATACAAGTATAAAAAGAACTTTTCAAAAAGAAAGTAAATGTAGGGAAAGCTAATATCTATCCTTCAAAAACAATGCAAAACAAGAATAGGGATGACATTTGCATCATCCCTACATGATAGCACAGGCAAGGATTAACATATAGAAATATATATAACTATTCAATCACAATTGAGTTTAATTTATCCTGTTTTTGTCTGTTAACATTCTACTACACTGTGTGCCTGTGCTATTATGTAGTGATGATGCAAATACCATCCCTACTATCTTGTTTGGATTGTTATTGAAGGAATGATATTAGCCATCCCCACACTTACTTCTTTTTTGAAAATTTTTTTCTTTACTTGTTTGATTGTTTTTAATGCAGTGTTTTAATAGACATACCAAGTTCTAAATACAGTGAGGTTCCAACTGTAATATTTATCATTTATATATTATTGGCTGGTAATTCCTGTTTCACCCTGTACTTAAGCTTTTAAGAGGAACACCAAATGTCTGTAAGAAAGCTACCTTCAAGGGGTAATGATAACATCATTTACTCTAGAATTATAATTTTTCTTTTTAAATTATTAATCATTAATGATACTTATAAAAGTAGATATTCCATTTGAAACTATGTCACCTCAGTGAAATTGGTATTCATATCACAAAATTATAACATACCAGTATAGTTGTGAATGATCCTTGAAGCAAGCTTAATGAAATCCCATGTACTTGGACCACAAACCGTATGGTAAACTCACAGTTTGTATGGTCTGCATCAACATCTCTTTAAATCCACCCAAAGAAAAATTAATATGTGTATATATACACACATATCTAAATACATGCTTAAAATACTACATTTTTTCTGAATAAGTTAGCCAACATATATTAGTCATAACAATTATATCATTAGGAAAATACACACAGAATTTTGCTTCCAAAGGATAATCAGTATATACTAAGCCTTTTTTATTAATAGACAAGATGTTGTTTAATTTTCCTTTAAATTCCATTAAACAGTGACTTTTATACAATTGGCAATGTTTTTAATATTACTCATATACTCTTTTGAAATCTGCAAGGAATTAAAGAAAAAAATCTTATGTGTATATAGTAAAGACACAAAACAAAACAACCACCTATTCCATCAAGTATGTTACTTATAATGTAACTGTCATAAAAAACTTCCAATTACAACTAATTATAATAAAGGACAAATATTTATTCAATGCTTTCAATTATCTTTAAATAGATGAGCCATGATATATCAGCTGTTTAATTTTGCACCTTATTTTCCAGGAAAGAGCACTTAGAATGTTTTCTCTCTTCTGCAGTAACTGTTGGATACCATAAGAGCTTCTACTACTTTGATATTGTAATATTGACATATATGCATCAAAATGTAAATTATATAAGAAATAAGAAAATTGTTTAAAATTAAACAAACTTTGTGATAATACCTTCACCTCCTTTTAGGGTATTTTACATTAAAAATCATGTATTTAATTATAATCTTATTATTCTTAAGAATTAGTTAAACTTAATTTTGTTTTTGCTGTTTATATAAATTTATGACTCCCTATTACCTAGGATCCTGAACTGTGTTAAATACCTAACATCCAAAAATGTTAAATTATCTATTTACTTAAATTTTCTTTTTTGTATGGTCTTAGGGTTTACAAAACAGCTTGGTTACTAGTACTGTTTAATTTGTTATGCTCATTTCATAGCATTCAACTCAACATGTACTGCAATAAAATGATGTGTATTTCACACTCTGTTCTTACTGCCGTTTGTTGCTAAGAGCCTCATGGTATGAGAAGTTTTAAAGGGTAGGACATTTTCTTGTATCCAACATTTCTTTTTTCACCAAGAACGCTTAGATTTAATTCAAATTAGGCTCACAATGTTTCATGTTAGTCTACAGAAAATGTGGCATTGCAAAGAAGTGTCCAGAAATGGTTTGTTTGTTATCTGTGCTAGCCGTCCCTAATTTAGCAGTGTAAGACTAGAGGGAAGGCAGCTAGTCACCACCCCCCACCGCCAACTCTTGGACTACTCTTGTACCAACGAATAGTGCGATTGACCATCACATTATAATGACCCCCATGGCTGAAAGGGCGAGTATGCTTTGTGTGATGGAAATTTGAACCCGCGACCCACATATTGCGAGTCAAACATCCTAACTACCTGGCCATGTCCAGAAATGGCAAGATGAAAATTTGGGAACCATATATTAATCTGTGACTCAGTTAATTAATGTTGCCCAGTTTTATAAAGCTACATATTTTGTGTTCTATGATTCTTTTGTAAATTTTGAAATAGGTAACACTGCAGAACTACAAAAACAAGTATTCGAAGTTAATTCAAAATTGTTAAAAGTCTTGAAGTTTTTAGTAATTTTGCAAAACATATCTCACATATATAAAGATTGCACACTAGCTGAAAATAATTAATTCAGCACTTCAATTTATTATTTGAATATTAGTGGTGAAGAAATCATTCAGAAAAATAATAATAGATATTAATTACAATCAACAAATCAGAGGAATATTAAAATGCAAGTAAGTTTTTTGGCACAGATATTTTTTTCATCTATGGTTCTTTCATTCTTTCTTTCTTTAAGGTAAGTAAAATGTGAGTTGAATGACATATCTAAAGAACTATTTCTTGAACTTTATCTAGTTAAGAAAAATAAACACTTCTAAAACACTCATCAGGAAACTAAACAAAAGTGAAGTTTCACATAACAAAGTAAAGGGTTTTCAAGAAACATTTTGAAAAATTCATAACCATAACAGATTTTCCACCAAAAATTCAAAACCATTCATCCATGTTGAAGACTTATACTTCACAATAGGGATTTCTCATTTACTTTTGGATAACTAAAGAAGTTTAAATATTTACATATTAAAATTTCAAATCCACCTCACATGATAATACCGTTGCATACCTGCTTGTTTGATAATTTCTGGTAAAAATTCTTTCCGAGTGACTTAAGCGATACAACTTCTATCTCGATACAACTTTGTAATACATAAAATTTCCACCCTCACTTTAAACTTAACAACCTTTATAACACACGCTATAAATCACACTGATTCACACACTTTACTTACAGTGCCTACTGTTCGCTTGACTCAATTATCTATCTATCTCTTCGATCTATCTGCCTATCTATCGCACCGGTTTTACTCGCCAGGCTTATATACTAAAAAAGAGGGCATCTAGCAAACACTGGGACATTTGCGAGGTTCCACGATAAGTCATGATCCTTCTAGAAACTCCAGCAAGCATGCTCCCAGCATCACGTGACTTCTGCTGTCGATACAATACTTAGGCTTTACATATCTCAACTTGAGAGCTTCACAATCTTCAGTTGGAGAAATAAATAAAAGTTTTATACAGCACCAGTGGCATAAGTATGCTCCCACAATTGTGAGGGTGGTCCAAGCCAAAAGGGTCTAAAACACTTAAGAATTGCTGACAAGGGAAGAGACATACAATTTAATTTGTTTGAACTAAAGGGTGGCTGCACTATTCTGTTAAATTAACAATATAAATAAGCCAGAATCGTAACTATAATTATATTTGTAGTTATGCTACTGCACAGCACTAATGGAACTGCTCACCTATTTTTTCCTTAAATTAGAAACATGGAAGCCTGAAATATCTCAATATATATTTTTAAAATAATTTTTTGTTGATCACACAAAAGTGAAGCCCTAAATGTCATAAAAAAACTTATAAAAAATCTTCAGTTAGTTCAATTGAAACCTCAAATATGATAAAAAAAATGTAAGTTAACAACATCACACACAATTCTTATTTATTCTTCTGATTCTAAAATAAAATTAACATCTTATAAATTACAGTAAAGAATACTGATGTGTTTTCATTGACAATTCCATATATTTGTGAGTTCAATCTTCAATGATAGTGTTTTATTTTATAGTCTTCACATGTATACAAATATATGAATCATGAACAGTGGGAAACTAAAATGCAGTTTTTACACCAGAATAAAATATTTAGCTATAAGGAAACAGTTAATATTTGGTTCTCCAATTTGTAATTTAATAATAACCTGATTAGTGGTTTATCCAAATCCCATCTTAAAACTATCTTGGAGCTCACTTCCACAATCCATTGCACAATACAATAAAAATGTTTGAAAATTTATTTAGATAAGTAAAATTGAAGCCTCAATTATTAATATTAAGTTAATTAAACCAACCTTATAACTTACAATAAATATGCCAAAATGAATTTTTGTTAATTAAACAAGACTTAATTCTTTTTATTTTATAAAATGTACTTTTTTACTTTTCTATTAAATAAAGATACTGTAAGTTTTGAATTCTACAATAAATATTTGTTAGTTACAATCCAATTAATTGAACTAAACTGAAGCTTTTAGATATCAAAGTAAATACTTCATAATTAATCCTCACTTATCTAAACTGAAGTATATTGGACATTAGCCAAATAATTGCTCATTTATTTACCTTATGTTAACAATAACTGAACTTTTACACAGCAGAACAATAGCTTCTAAATTAAACTTGAATGAACAAAATTAAAACAGTTTGTTTCTCAATTTTCTGTTGCTACAACTTACTATATATTAAAATCCCTACTCTCAAGTACTTAATTTAACCATACAAAATTGAAGCTTTAAGTATGACAATAGACTTTTCAAATAATTTGTATTTTGGATTGTCTGAAATGTTATCTTAATTATTTTTTGTAACATATACCTTTGATTATTTTAAGACAACTCCAGTAAAAAAAGGAAACTTTCTTTAATACTCAATATTTTGCCTTAGGGCTTCATCAGAAGTTTATCATTACAAATACTGAGGCACCCATAATAAAAACACTGAGAATATAGAGAAAGTTTCTTTTACTGGAGTTATTTTAATAAAATAATAAAAATATGTTCTCAATTAATATTCTAATGAAAGAATAGTAGTTGGCATGTTAAATATCACAGCATACCTCTAAAGTCATTAAAGTTAACAAAGAATAATGCTTTGTATGTTACAATAGCATTCTCAGTCTCCTCTACATAGCTAGATCTGCTTTTGATATCACATTAGATACTTTCAAGATAATCACGGATTAAGTAGAGAAAATTAATGATCTGGAGCTTTTTGATCTTGAAATATTGAGTTGTCTTAATATAACCCATTATGATACTTACTTATTTGATACTTCCATTACAAACTGGTATGTTGGTGACCTAAAGTTCTTTGGTGAGATAATACCACATGGAGATTTGGGTTGACAAAGCCAGCTGTATACATTGAATGGCAGAAATATAAATAGACAAAAAAAATTAGCAGCTGGTAAAGCACTGTAATGACTTAAGTAAAAAGATAAAGTGTAAGAAAGCCTAATTACAGAGAAACAAAAACTGGTCAGAAGCTTTGTTTGCAATTATTTTAATGAAATGGCAATCTCTTCTGAAATAATTTCCTTCTCCCTCATATTTATTAATGTCTTTGACAATTTTCCCACCCCCAACCTCCAAATCTTGATTATACCACTGCTCCAAGTATACATGTAATAACAAATAGCAAGTTTTTAAATACATTTTAATTCAGAATTTTATATCTTTCCCAAAAATTTGTAAAACTTTTTTGTTCGTAATCATTAAAAAGAAATACCAAAGAAAAAAAAAGGTTTCAATTAGATGAATCACATCATAAGTCACATATAACTTGTACTTGGCTCCAGCTTTTGGTATTCAAGTTCATTGTATTTTTATATGAATGCTTTTAATTATGATTATTCAGATTTATATTTACCAATTTATAGCTTAAACTTTTACATATCTAACATATTGTATTTCACATATTTTTTTAGGAACTTCACAAAAACCAAACATTATACCTTCCTGGTAAAAATAATATAAATATACTAGCCAATTATCAGACTACCAAGAAACAGTAAAGAAAAAAATATAAAATATTTATTAGAATAGAATATCTCTAAGTCTTACCCACATCTATCCTGTTCAATTTATAATTTGTAACACTGATAATTTCTTTTAATGGAGAATATAAAAAACATTTAGCATATCCATGTATGCTATGTCAGTTATTGTTATATAAGGAGATTAAATATGTTATCGAAAAACGATTTTTTAGCCTCACACTGTGATAACTGTGCATCTTGACAATAGCCTAGCAATGTAGTTTTCATTGCAAAAGGTTCCTTCATAAGGCTGTCTTGTCCAAACCATGCCAATCCTTCCTAAAACCTTTCCATAATCCATCTATTGTATGAGGATGATGATTTCCTAGTGCCTGTTTCAACACAGAAATCCATAAGTGATGCATCAAATAACTTGATTAATATGCCTTTGTATGAAGTAACATAAATGTCTGTTTTATTTTATTTTTCTCCAGATGTTTGAGGTATGCAAAAGTTGAACAGGCATGTTGTGGAAACATCTTCTGCACACATGACTTGTGTCACTTTTTCATATGAGTATCCTTTTTCATTATGTTGCATACTGTTTCCTGGGGTAAGTGGATGGCTTTTACTTCTGATCTTTATGTTCACGGATTCGCACCATTTAAAAAATTGTGCTTACCATGGCCAGAATGGTCCATATTCTTTTGTTTTCCAATGTCATTAAGTTTAAGGGGTATCCCCATCTTGGAAATATTAAATTCCCAAAACTTTCTGATCTTAATGTATTCTTATGATCTGTATGTATGAATATTTTGTATCAGAATAGGCTGTTACATACCCTTCCCAAAAATTATAAACTTTCGATGACATTACCTATGAAATGCCAAACAATGTCAAAATATAGTTTTGATACATTCCATTCTACCATAACTTTATATTGGCAGTGGTTGCTACATAACTTGCTGATGTGCATATTCAAAATCGCTTTAATATAATGTACTCAACCCATTGCAGTTTTATACCACACAAACAGAGAAAAAGCTTTAATCTCTATTAACAGCTCAATTCTAACACTAGAATCTGGGTTTCAATACCCGTGGTGGGCATAGCACAGATAGCCCATTGTGTAGCTTTGTGATTAATTACAAACAAACAGCTCAATTCAGCCATAAGATCTAATGGAGAATTTGATAACTGGTAGCACTGGATATCTAGTAACAGTTATGACATCTAGTAGCATCTGTGGTATTCAATAATGGCTGTAACATATAATAGCAATTTTAAAACTCAACAGCAGTTGTAGTGTCAAGTTACAGTCCTTCAGCTATAAAATCAGCTTTTATACTAGTTTAACTGTGGTGGATTATATTTTGCATAGACTATTTCAGTTTATAAACTAAGAAACCATACCTGATAGAATTATGTGTATGATTAAACACTGGAATTTTACTGGTATGGTCTTCGACAGCACTCCATATAAGTGATCCAGAAGCCCTACAAACACAAGCAAAAATCATACATCTTCCACTCTTCAAATGTTCTTCTTGTAGGAGTACCAGTATGTACTACTTATTTCTACAACTGCCCATGTGGTACATGCATGAAGGCTTATTTTTTAAGCTGTTTCTTAATGTTTTTAAAAACATTATTAATTTAATACTTACATCTAAATAGAAATGAATTTAATCTCCTAGTTTGTAACATCAAATACTCAAAATCATCAACTATAATACATGCACAAATGAAAATGTGAAGCTGCTGTTTTATCTATGCTATTATTAATACATAATCAAATAATGCATCTGGTAATGATTTTTCTTTACTTCATTTAGTATGCACATAAAAATCACTCTTAACTATATACACGCATCTTGAATATTTCTATAAGGTTTCTAGTTTTGGTATCTTAGAAGTTACTTAAATATATTTGGATATTCTACATATATATATTAGGTATATGTTTCTATATACATCTTTGCTGAAATTGTATTGGAATTTATGTAAAACAAGTTTCACTCCTACTGTGAATTGACAATATTAAACTAAGAGCTTCTCGACAAATATATACCTTGCATGCTAACTTATTTATATTCTTCATTTAAGGCTCTTTTATACATTTCCAATCTAGAATGATTTGATGTGCACACACATTTTTGTACATGCTAACAGGACTTATAATTTTTTATATGCTCCAGCGATTGCAAATTTATGTAGAAATAAGCTATATTTATATGTTGCCTAAGTTTATTTTATCTGGTCTATGTAATTAAAGTTTTCACAAAGTGCTCAAAAATATTTATTAATAACATTGCATATTTATGCTTAATTCCATGATATTGTACATGGCTCTGGCAAATTTCTGTGTTCAACTATTATTTTTCTTATTGTCACACCATGGTGATATATTGCTCCACTGTGTCCTTTTCAGTCACTGTCCTTTGAATATTAAACAAAACTTGTAGTCTGTCATGCAGTGAATCCTTGAAAAAGACATATTCAAAAATGTCAGGTTTAAATGACATGTCTATCCTAGAACTGTGTTAGTTATACTTCCTGGTACAGTTTCCACCTTTTTTTCTTCTCTGTAAGCTTTGAAATGCTAACAATTACTCTAAGCTGTCTAAATATTATTGTTTTATACCTCAAATTAATCTTAATCACACCACAAAGTCAGCCTGAAGTGTTTTAGCTAATTGCAACATTTGGTAATAACAGTATTAAATTCTGCACTGCAGCAGTTAGTGAAAATTGTTCATCAGCTAGTTTTATCTTTTTTTCCATACACTTGTTTATCTGTTATTAGGAGTCTCTAACAAATTAAAAATAACATTGAAGCAAAATAGACATGTAGCAGATGGGAAACTGCTATGTTTTATGCTTCTATAACTTAAAAAAAAGTACATTCTTCATAGTTTTCATAAAGATGTTCTGAATTTAGCTGACATGTTTTTATATACATCTTTGCTGAAATTGTATTAAAATTTATGTAAAACAAATTTTGGTCCTACAATGAATTGACAATATTAAAGTAAGAGCTTCTCTACAAATATATACCTTGCATGTTAACTTATTTGTATTCTTCGTTTAAGGCTCTTTTATACATTTCCAAGCTAGAATGAAATAGGTGTAAATAGTTGTAGGTTTGCATTAATCCTCGTTATCAGGATAGATGTATACCATAGTGGATACAATAGTGACTATTTTGAAAAACACTCATATTTTCTAGACCATACTTTTTCTCATTATTATCCTGGCATCCGAACCACATCCAAGTGGAGGAGTGGTACAGAGATTAGTATAAATCAGTAGATACTGGGAGTTAAACTCCCCTTGGATGTATGTAATGAAAATGGTCATTGATGTTGGTAATCTGGGATGGTGAGATACTGCTCCAGGACTTTTGTCTGAGAAAGAACACAACTATTTTGTCCTTTTTTCAATGAAACTGCTGCTTTTTGAGCTTGCTCTAGCAGTTAGATTAGTTACTCTAAGAATTCAGAGACTAGTGTGCAATAGTATAAAGTGAGAACCCAACATCTTCACTTTTTGTGTGTTAGAAATGAATATTAATCTTGTTTTCACAAGTCTTCAAATCTTCTTCTTTTGCTTTCTGTATCTATTTTTTAGTGCAACTCTTGATAGTTGTCTGTTAGATATGAGTGGTTTGGAATACTACAGACTAAGTTATAAAATTACATTTCTGTGTCATAATTAGGATTTTTTACAGATTCTATTTTAAATGGGCTTCTTTTTTTGTTTGATTTTCTTGTTTCTCTAAAGCTTGTAATTATGGTCAGGAAGGGGCATTTCCTGTGATCTTGTATGACTTACAGGGTAGGGGAAGATAGTGTGATTGAAGTGTGGACAGGAAGTGTGGCAAGAGCTAACAGAGTCCCTCTCCTACATCTAGGGCTTTCACCAGTTCATGGTGAGAGCTATATTTGAATTCTATATCATATTCAGTAATAAGAAGTTGAAAATTTACTAGGGGAAATCCCCATCTGCTGCAAATCAGCCTCTACTAGTTACATCCAATATGTAAGAACATAGAGTGATAAGTTTGTTTGTAATTAAGCACACAGCTGCACAATGGGCTATCTGTGCTCTACCCACCATGGGTATCAAAACCTGGTTTCTAGTGTTGTAAGTCTGAAGACATATCACTGTGCCATTGGGGGACAGAGTGGTAAGGATGGGTTGTGATGGCAAGTATTAGATGGAATTTTAAGGACTAATAGAGATGGTCCCTAAGACTGCATCCAGTGATGAAGTTGGACATGGAATGCAACACCGATGAGTATCCCTGTGCATCATAGAATTCTAATGGTGATCTTGCCTGAGAGCACCACATATATTTGGATGTGCATATCTCTTTTAAGTATTTTAGGGCCTCCCTTGGAGTGGCAGAGATGTTGGTAGCAAGGTTCTGCTAGTAACATTGTTTCATGACTATTGGATGCAAGTTTCATTCTGGCTAAAGTGCAGGAGGGTCAATAGTAGACAATGGCTGCAGAAGCTCTGAAATCAAGCAGTTGTTAAGATATGGAACAATGCAACCCTAGAAGAGTACTTGGAAATCTCTAGTACTTATTTTAAATAAAAAGTGGAACTCCTAGGTCATGCATGATCTGTTGAATATGGTGATATGCATCATTATCTTTCCTTTACTACAAGTAGATAAATGTGTTGAAACCCATCACTTCATTCAGTGTGCTGTATCTTATTTCTGTCAAGTTAAATTAAATGATTCAGCATTCCGAACGGATTGTATGAGTTCCATTTCATGCCATTCAGTCTGTATAACATGCCTGCTGCTTTCAAGAGGCTGATGAAATTTACTCTCACTGGATTGCAATTTTATGGATGTCTTATTCATATGAATTACATTTTAGTATTTGATTAAGCAATTCAAGCCAGTGCTAAAAACTAAGGGATTTAGCATATTAAAGATGCAGGCTTGAATTTGAAACCAAGAAAGTGTTGTGGGAAGTTCATTATTTGTGTTGTCAATGAACTTCAAAAATTTGAAAAACATGATTGCACATTGAATAATGACACAGCAAGAGCATAACTTCATTGTATAAATAACACAGAAATTCCAATGTCCTTTTGTTGAATATCCAGATCCTGAACATCGTTTAGTAGTTAAATCCATTGCAGCAGCATTGATGACAAACCATATAAGCAGTGACAATTCTGCCTATGAATGGACACCACAAATGTTCAATCAGGATATAAGAGGAAGAGCAACTGAAAGACCCAGATACAACTTATTTACTACTTTCCATGCATCAAGGTAAAGCACACAAACCAGGAAATGTAATGCTGATATGCATAACATCTTGCAATTGTATAGTCTGTTATAAGTGCAGAATACTGTGCTGTACTATCATTATGAACCACCACTTTGAGGTAGCTGAACTATGTTACAGCTATTGATTCTCCAGATCTCTAAGGCAGGTGATACTCCAGTCTTTGCATAATGCAAGGACTATAGAACATCATGGAAATTCAATCACCACTGCTATTAGATATACATGACTGTTTTAATTTAAGTATAGTGCAAGTGTTAAATTTAGTTATTTTTAGAAGCGATATTTTATCACAGGTTTCTTTCCATAACTGTGTGTTGTGTAGTTCAACCATCATAAATTAGAAATTGTTGTATTATTGAGTCATGTTACTCGAACCTTCTAAGTTATTCTTGAGTAGTATTACATCACAATATCTCATAGTGTCTGAAAAGTTCTAGGTCTCAGTTGGGCTATTTATAAATATGCATCCAAAATGTAGTTCAAATTTGACAAAGTTAGTGAGAGATATAGTAAAATATATGTAGATTGTGTGTTTGTAAGTTCAGACATAAAGAGCATATAGTGGCACTTTTTTTAAGTGAAATTATTGCCCATTGTATTGTAACAACAGAGTAGAGAAGAATAATTTCTCTTGTTAATTGTGTTCTAAAGTAAATGAATAAACCTGTGTGGACTTTTGATGAAAAGAGGCAATTATTTAAAGCTCTGGATACAACTGTGGTAACCAATAGTGTAATGTAATTATCACTGATTGTATTGTAATAAGAAAGCAGAGAAGAATAAGACGATTATTTAAAGCTCTGGATACAACTGTGGTAATTAACTGTGTATCAAACATTTGTATGTATGTTTGATTTGTTTTAATATATTATTTTACAACAAGTGGACTGTGTGCTGTTTGTTTGTTATTCATTATTCCTGAAATGCAATAAGGCAGACCACACCACATCTGATCCAGGTATATTCTTCACTCTTTTATGATTGTGTCGTGAACATAAAAGGGGGAAAAAACATGAAGGAATCCTAGAATATGTATGACCAATTAATGGGACCCCTGAGTGTTGAGTGGCTAGGACGTGACAGATCATAGTGGTAATTCGACCTCATCCAACACTAGGCCATAGGTAGAGGATCACCTAACTATTCACCTTGAAATGGAAATTATTAGGGAAGATGAGC